ATAGACTTGAGCCAGGGCGGTCAATGTGGAGGTCAACCTGCTCCCATTCTGCAATGTGGACTCAGCCTTCGCCTCAGGGGATGCATGCGCCGTTCATCTATAATCACTCCAAGAATGTTAATACCCTCTTTGAATGCACATCTGCCTCTGATGCGTTGCAGGTGTGCAGCCTGGGAATGGAAATGGCACCTGGAAGAGAAGAATGTGCTGCGCGTGCAGGAGAATGAGGGGATTCTGGGCTCTGTAGTTCAAAATAGGGACTTTCCCCAAGTGTCATCTATTTTTAAGGGCTTGGTAGAGACAGTGTAGAGTATGAACCAGAACAGTGGGGGATTATGGGCACTGCAGTCCAAAATAAGAATTGTCCTCATGCTTCACCCATTGTTTAAGGGCTTGGCAGATTAGTGTATTTGGTATGAACCAGAACAAGAGGGATTATGGGCTCTGTAGTCCAAAATAGGGACTTTCCCCAAGTGTCATCTATTTTTAAGGGCTTGGTAGAGATAGTGTTGAGTATGAACCAGAACAGTGGGGGATTGTGGGCATTGTAGTCCAAAATAAGAACTGTTCCCATGCTTTACCCATTGTTAAGAGCTTGGTAGATACGAATACTGGGTATGAACCAGGACATCAGGGGATTATGGGCATTGCAGTCCAAAATAAGAACTGTCCCCATGCTTCACCCATTGTTAAGGGCTTGGTAGATAAGAGTATTGTGTATGAACTGGAACAATGGGGATTATGGGCACTGCAGTCCAAAATAAGAACTGTTCTCATGCTTCACCCATTGTTAAGGGCTTGGTAGATAAGAGTATTGAGTATGAACCAGAACATCAGGGGATTATGGGCACTGCAGTCCAAAATAGGGACTTTCTCCAAGTGGCATCTATTGTTAAGGGCTTGGTAGAGACAGTGTTGAGTATGAAGCAGAACAATAGGACAGAGTTGCACTCCCTCTGAAGATGTGGGTTCGCAGCTTGGGACTCTTCCTGGACTCATCGCTGAGCCTGGAACCTCAGGTTTCAGCAATGGCCAGGGGAGCATTTGCACAATTAAAACTTGTGCGCCAGTTGTGCCCGTACCTTGGAAAGTCATACTTGGCCTAGGTGTTCCATGTTCTTGTCACATCTCGTATAGACTACTGCAACACACTCTATTTGGAGCTGCCCTTGAAGACTGTTTGAAAGCTTCAAGTAGTCCAACGGGTGGCAGCCAGATTACTCACTGGAGCAATGTACAGGAAGCATACAATTCCTCTGTTGCATCAGTGCAACGTCTGCTAATCTGCTACCATGCACAATTCAAGGTGCTGGCTTTAGCCTACACAGCCCTCAATGGTTCTGGCCCAACTTACCTGTCCCTATGAGAGCATTAAGATCTACTGGGGAGGCCCTGTTCTTGGTCCCACCCCCATCGCAAGTACAACTGGTGGGGACGAGAAACAGGGCCTTCTCAGTGGTGGCCCCCTGGTTGTGGAACTCCCTTCCCAGTGACATCAGACTGGCCCCCTTCCTCCTGAGTGAACACATGGTTGTGGGATCAGGCGTTTGGATAGTGCAATAGAGAACTAGCATAGTTGTAGCAACACAATCGACGACTATACTAAATATCATGGTTTTAACAGTTTTATGGTATTTATATGTTTTTAAATACCCCCCCCCCCCCCGGCCCGGTGACGCAATGGTTTAAATCACTGAGCTGCTGAACTTGCTGACCGAAAGGTTGGTGGTTCAAATCCGAGGAGCGGGGGGAGCGCCAGCTGTTAGCCCCAGCTTCTGCCAACCTAGCAGTTCGAAAACATGCAAGTGTGAGTAGATCAATAGGTACCGCTTCTGAGAGAAAGTAATAATGCTCCATGCAGTCATGCCAATCACATGACTTTAGAGGTGTCTATGGACAGCGCCGGCTCTTTGGCTTAGAAATGGCGATGAGAACCAACCCCCAGAGTCAGACACAACTTGACTTAATGTCAAGGTGAAACATTTACCCTTACCTATGTTTTTTTTTGTTTAATGTACATGATATATCGTATTTTACTTATTGTATACTAGCCATCCCCTGCCACGTGTTGCTGTGGCCTGGTTTGTGTATATGTGTTTTGTGTGTTTGTATATGTGTGTGTGTATATTTATGTATATGTGTATATATGTGCGTTTGTGTATAAATATGTGTGGCTTTTTGCATGCGTTGTAATGTATTTTATTTTTTTTGGCTTTTTAAAGTCCCTTCTGCTGTGTTTTTCAGTGTTTTTATGAGTGATGGTCGCTTGTTGGCCTGGTAGATGTATTGTGTCCAAATATGGTGCTAATTCGTCCAGTGGTTTTTTAGTTATGTTGATCCCACAAACTAACATTACATTTTATTTATATAGATTCTATTATTATTCTATTATTATTATTGTATTATTGTATTATTTATATTGGTGACCACTGACTGGTCCATGAAGTCACGAAGCGTCGGAAACGACTGAACGAATGAACAACAACAACAACTATTTATATTATTGTATATTTATTATTCTATTATTCTATGTTATTATTATTATTTTATTTCTATGACCTGTGCATGCTCAGGAACTGTAGCCTAGCTTTGCAGTGCTAGATTTATTATTATTATTATTATTATTATTATTATTATTATTATTATTAATTTTAAATGCATTTTTAATTTTTTTGGCTTTTTAAGTCCCTTCTGCTGTGTTTTTCAGTGTTTTTATGAGTGATGGTCATTCATTGGCCTGAGAGGTGTATTGTGTCTAAATTTGGTGTCAATTCGTCCAGTGGTTTTTGAGTTATGTTAATCCCACAAACGAACATTACATTTTTATTTATATAGACTGTAGATGCAGCATTGAATATTGGCATACTGTAAGTCGCTCCGAGTCCCCTCTGGTGTGAGAGGAGCGAGATATAAATAGAGTAAATAAATAAATAAATCTGGGGATACTGGGCTCTGTAGTCCAAAATAGGCGTATTTTCCAAGCAGATCCCTTTAACAGCACCAAATTCTCCAAAGTCTTCCACCCTGAAGACTTTCCCCAATTCTCCTCTGGTTCCAGTCAATAAAGGAAGCTATTTCTGCCTCATTTTCCTCCACTTCATTTTTGCTGCTTCTGCAAATGCCTCCTCCTTCTTCCTTGGGGCCAAAAAAACGACGGAGGCATCAATGCGGAAGGCACCCCGCCCTGGGATTCTTGCCCTTTTTGACTTGAATGGATTCGTTCCCTTGGCACCTGCCCCACCTTGAAGTCAATGCCAAGCTCCAAATTTATTATTATTATTATTATTATTATTATTATTATTATTATTATTATCCATTTTTGCAGCTGCCACTCGACTGCCAAAAGAGAGCAAAAGAGAGCAAAAGAGCAAGTGGAAAAGTGGTCCAAAAACATTTGAGGAATTAGGGGCAGGAATTATGGAGATGCTCAAAGGCATGGTCAAAAGGCATAATGCTGTTCAACAGTGGAACTCTCTGCCTTGGGGTCCAGTGGAAGCTCTTTCCTTGGAAAATGTTAAACAGAGACTGGATGGTCATCTGTCGGGGGCACTTTGTGCTTTTCTTGCACGGTCCAAAAACATTTGGAGAATTAGGGGGAGGAATTATGGAGGTGCTCAATGAGAACTAGCCTCATGGTCAAAAGGCATAAAGCTGTTCAACAGTGGAACTCTCTGCCTCGGGGTCCAGTGGAAGCTCCTTCATTGGAAACTGATAAAGAGAGACTGGATGGCCATCTGTCGGGGGCACTTTGTGCTTTTCTTGCATGGTCCAAAAACATTTGGAGAATTAAGGGGAGGAATTATGGAGGTGCTCAATGAGGACTAGCCTCATGATCAAAAAGGCTTAAAGCTGTTCAACAGTGGAACTCTGTGCCTCAGGGCCCAGTGGAAGCTCCTTCCTTGGAAACTGTTAAACAGAGACTGGATGGCCATCTGTCGGGAGCACTTTGTGCTTTTCCTGCAAGGCAGGGGCTGGACTAGACTATTCTATTATACTAACCATCTGTATTAGTCTATGATACTAACAACAACAACAACAACAACATTTCCTTTTGGATTATGATGCCTGGAAATGCCAACTGGTTCCAGCCCAATATTGTAACTACCAACCTTTGGACAATGGGATCAAGCTAGGGAAAAGTTTTTTTGGACTACAGTGCCCAGAATCCCCATTTGTTGTGTTTCATACCCAGTCCTTTTGGACTACAAAATCCCAATTAGTTGTGGTTCATACCCAGCCCTTAACAACGGTTTCGACTGAACCTTTCATGATGGGTAGTTGACAATGGGGAAAAGTCCCTATTTTGGACTACAGTGCCCAGAATCCCCAGTTGTTCTGACTCATACCAAGCCCTTAACAATGGGATCAAGTTTGGGAAAGTCCCATAAAGTCCAGAAATCCCCCAATATTGTACCTAACAAGCCTTTTACTAATTTTGGACTGCAGCACCCAGAATCCCCACTTGTTCTAGTTCATACCCAGTAGTGTACCTACCAAACCATCAACAAAAATGGGAAAAGTCCCTATTTTTGGACTACAGTGCCCAGAATTCCCTGTTGTTCTGGTCCATACCTTTTATCTACCATTCAATTAACAATGGATGACGCTTGGGCAAAGCTATGACCCATTGTTAAAAGTTTGGTTCTTGAGCCAAAGCAGCTGGGGATTATGGGCACCGTAGTACACAAAAAGGAAGTTTCCCCACACTCTGGCCCATTGCTAATGGCTTGATAGGCATAGTATTGGTCTGGAACCAGCATAGCTGGGGATTCTGGGTGGTGGAGTCCAAAATCTTCCCCGTTTGTTAAAGGCTTGACTGAAACCACATTGAGCTTGAACATCTGGGGATTCTGGGCACTGCAGTCCAAAAGTGGGGACTATTCCCATTGGTTAAAGGCTTGGGAGGTCCAGTATTGTGCTTGAACCAGCTCAGCTGGGGATTCTGGGCACTGTAGTCCAGGAAAAAGGGACCTTTCATAACCTTTTCTTTCTTTCTGCAGACGGACCTGTATTCAGGTGCCCTTTTCGTTCAAGTCTGCTTGGGTTGGAATCTCTACCTTTCGACTGTCTTGATGCTTGTGGTCACTGCCATTTACACCATCGCAGGTAACTGGTCATTGGGGAGGCGGCAAATGGATTAATTAATGATATAATTAATTGGCGAAATCCATATCCATCAATACCTTGGGTAGCCAATGGTATAAATAAATAGTCATAATGCAAGCTTATTCGACTGAAGGAGGTTCTTGAGCAGAAGGGGTTTCAACAGGTGTGCTTACCTGTTACTTACCTGGCCCAGGTAATCAGGAACCCCAGCTGGGATTCTTTCATGCTATTGAAAGGAGAAGGCTCATCTCCAGCTTTCAAGGTTGATGGTTTCTATATCCAATCTACCCCAAAAGGCACCTGATATTGGAAGCTAAGCAGGGCCGGCGCTGGTTGGTTCTTGGATGGGAGACCGACAATGAATCCCAGGCTGTATTTTGGAGGAAGGAACTGGCAAAAAAGTGGGGTCCCCATAAGTCGACAGATGTCTTCAAGGCATACAACAATATTCTATTTTCTTTGCATTGTTTGCAGGGGGGCTCACGGCGGTCATCTATACAGATGCCTTGCAAACCTTAATCATGGTAGTGGGTGCTGTCATCTTGACCGCCACAGGTAAGGCCTTATTTCGGGTGCATCTACACTGTGGAATTTAATGCAGTTTGGTACCACTTGGACTGCCATCACTCAATTATTTGGAATCCTGGGAGACGTAGTTTGGGCAAGGACTCGGACTACACAGCGCTGGATAAAAGACAGACGGATAAGAGACTGCATGTGAATGCGTACCCAATATTCTCATTTATTGGACCCATATTTAGCAGCTTTTGCTACCATGCAAAATGAACCAGAAGGTACAGAAAAGCACATCCCTGTTTTTGAAGTTTGAATGACTCGAATGGGTCATTTTTCCCCCATTCTTTTGACACCGAAGTGGCCAAAACGATGCCTCATTTGCCAATAGAAGGTCTTGGGCAAAATAAATCTCAATGTTTACTTTCCACATCAGGATGAAATGAGGAGATTATTCCTCTTCTATTTACTCAGGGGAGATGGGCAAAGGAACATTGAACCCTACCTCCTTAGTTAGAAAGGGGATGCAGAGAAGAGTGGAGGGTGAGTCCTGACTCCACAATGTTAGAGAGGGAAAAATCTCTAGAAGCAAATGCAGAGGCAACCATGCTGTCTAGATCTGCTCCGAACCCTTTGTCTTCAAGCTCCAAACGTTTGAAGAACTGGCATTTTCACCTCTCATCTGGAGCTTTGGCAACCCTAAGCCCCATATGGACTTCTCTTCCCTCCTTCTTGTGCAGCTTTCCACAAGATCGGTGGTTACCCCAACTTGGAAGAGGCCTACTTGAGAGCGGTGCCCTCCAAGACCATCCCAAACACCACCTGCCACCTGCCCAGGCCTGACGCCATGCACCTCTTCCGGGACCCCGTCTCCGGGGACTTGCCCTGGACCGGCATGACTTTTGGGCTCTCCGTCCTGGCCACCTGGTACTGGTGCACCGACCAGGTAAGACAAAGCCCCTCTTTTTCCATGCATTTTGGAGTTCTGAAATTAGCCCAAATCTCCCTGGCGGACCTGTTGATCCTTTCGGTTCTGTTTTGGAGAAGCCTCCTTAACCTTTCCCTCTAGGGACCTATAGGATCTCCATTTGGAAAAGGGACCATTGGACTGGCATGACTTTGGAGCTCAATAAAGAGGTTGTTCATGGCTACATTGACCTTTCCCTCAATGGACCCATAGAGTCTCCATTTGGAAATGAAACCATTAAACTGGCATGGCTTTGGAGCTCAATGGAAAGATTGTCTGTGACCTCATGGACATTTCCCTCTAGGAACTCAGAGGATCTCCATTTGGAAAAGGGACCATTGGATTGACATGACTTTGGAGCTCAATAGAGAGGTTGTTTGTGGCCACGTTGACCTTTCCCTTTACGGACTCCTAGGATCTCAGTCTGGAAATGGGACCATTGGATTGACATGACGTTGGAGCTCAATAGAGAGGTCATTCACGGCCACTTTTCCTCTAGGGACCCAGAGGGTCTCCATTTGCAAATGGGACCATTGGATTGGCATGATTTTGGGGCTCAATTGAGAGATTGTTCATGGACTCCTTGACCTTTCCCTCTAGGAACCCATAGGGACACCATCTGGAAATGGGACAATTCAATTGGCGTGACTTTGGAGCTCAATAGAGAGGTTGTTTGTGGCCTTGTTGACATTTCCCTCTAGGGCAGTGGTTCTCAACCTGTAGGCCCCCAGATGTTTTGGCCTTCAACTCCTAGAAATCCTAACAGCTGGGAAAGGGGCTGGGATTTCTGGGAGTTGTAAGCAAAACACCTGGGGACCCACAGGTTGAGAACCACTACTCTAGGAACCCAGAGGGTCTCCATTTGCAAATGGGACCATTGGATTGGCATGACTTTGGGGCTCAATGGAGAGATTGTTCATAGACTCCTTGACCTTTCCCTCTAACAACCCAGAGGGTCTCCATTTGCAAATGGGACCATTGGATTGGCATGACTTTGGAGCTCAATAGAGAGGTTGTTTGTGATCTCATTGACCTTTCCCTCTAGCGACCCATAAGGTCTCCATTTAGAAAAGGGACCATTAGACCTGCATGACTTTGGGGCTCCATTTCAGAGCAATTTGAACCCAACCCTGTTCCCACTGGGTCTTGGAGTCTTGGGTCTTACAGTTCCTAAATCGACCAAAATCCCAGGATTGAAGAAACTGGTGGCCTTAGTGACCCTTGTGGCCCTCTTTCAAGTCGGACCACTGGACTGACGTAGCTTCGGGGCTCTTTGTTTTGGTGCCCAGACCAGGTAAAATCAAAGCCCCTCGAACCCTTTCCTCGTGCCCACCAACCAAAAGCACAGACTCTTTTTTCTGTTCCTAAAGCAACCACAATCCCAATGGGGAGTTGACCTTTTGGTGCTGTTCTTAATCGGACCCCTGAACTAGCATGACTTTGGAAGTCACCTGATCTGGTGCATGGACCATATAATCCAAAACTCGTGGAACCCAACCCTTCTGTCCACTGGGCGAATGCACCGGCTCCATTTCGATGGGTCTCAGAAACTCATAAAAGAAACAAAATCCCAAAGGGGAGATTGCCCACAGCCTCACTGACTGTTTTGGCTAGGATCTCCATTTCCAATTAGACCACTGGACTTTGGGGCTCTGGTTTTTGGACCCACCTTCATGCCCACCAGATGAACATGTGGATGCCCTTTCGGTTGATCTCAGAGCTCTGCAAATAAACAAACTCCCAAATGAGGAGATATCTGGCAGCCTCATTGACCCTTTCGACTCTGTTTTGAATTGACCACCAAACCAGCATGACTTTGGAGCTCTCTGTTTTGGTGCATGGACCAAATAAACCAAAGCCCCAAGAACCCAATCCTCGTGTCCATTGGGTGAATGCACCTTGCCCCCTTTTCCCTAGGTCTTTGAGCTTCCAAAAGAAGCAGAATCCCAATGGGGAGATTGTCCATTGTCCATGGTTTCATTGACCCTTTTGGCTGCGGAGCTCACAGTGTCTCCATTTCAAATTGGACCACTGGACCAGCATGACTTTGGGGCTCTTGGTTTGGGTCAGACGAGGTAAACCAAAGCCCTTTCATACCCACCCTCGGGCAAATGCGCCGACCCTATTTCCGTGGGTATTGGAGCTCCTAAAAGAATCAAAATCCCAAACAGGGAGATCGTCCAAGGCGGCCTCATTGACCCTTTCGGCTCCGTTTGGAGTTGGACCACTGCCCGGCCTTGTTCTTGAGGTGCTTGGACTGCGACAGTTTGGACAAAGGGATGCCGAAGGGAGTCTTTATCTCTTCCGGCGCTCTTTGGGTTTCTTGGCACGATCCGGGAGTCGGCAAGGGCCCCCCGGACCCCCTTCCGTAGGAGTTTTTGCTGGAACTGAAGGATTCCCTTTGCCAGTACGGCTGGCCGGTGGGGCTCGAGGGCACATTTTTGATCTCCCGTTGGAATTGGGCGTCTTTGGGGCTTTGCGAGGGTCCGCTTTGGCCTCTTCTGGGGGACATTTGCACCCTGGATCCGTAGCAGAACAACTGGAAATAGAGAAAATCAGAAAAGTGTTGGCTTTTGTTGGTTTAGATCATTCTCAGCCTAGATTTGAAAACATCTAAAATGTGGATAATTTTGAAAGAGTGAAAGCATGCAAAGGGACCCAATGGTTGGTTAAATCCTTGCACTGGGGCACATTTCCGCTGTAGAATTAATGCAGTTTGATGCTGCTTTAATTACCAAGGCTTAATGCTATGGTAATTAAAGCAGGGAGTTGTAGTTTTGCAATGCTTTTAGCCTCCTTTAAGTATATTTACACTGTAGAATGCACTTTGACACCACTTTAACTCCCATTGCTCAATCCTATGAGATGCTGGGAGTTGTAGTTTTGCAAGGCTTTTAGCCTTCTTTAAGTGTATTTCCACTGTAGAAGTAACACAGTTTGATGCTGCTGTAACTGCCATGGGTCAGTGTTATGGGATCCAGGGAGTTGTAGTTTTGCAAAGCTTATAGACTCCTTTAAGTGTATTTACACTGTAGAATTAACGCAGTTTGGCTCTGCTTTAACTGCCATGGCTCAGTGCTATGGGATCCAGGGAGTTGTAGTTTTGCAAGACCTTTAGCCTCTTCTAGGTGTATCTGCACTGTAGAATTAACACAGTTTGGTGCTGCTTTAACTGCCATGGCTCAGTGCTATGGGATCCCGGGAGTTGTAGTTTTGCAAGGTCTTGATTGTTTATATCTATCATGTCCCCTAACTACAAATCACGGGATTCCATAGCATTGAGCCATGGTACACATAGAAAATCAAGACCTTGTAAAACTACAACTCCCAAGCTTCAACAACATTGAGCCATGGCAGTTAAAGAAGCACCAAACTGCGTTAATTCTACAGTGTAATTACACTTAAAGGAGGCTAAAAGCCTTGCAAAACTACAACTCTCTGGATCCCATTGCATTGAGCCATGGCAGTTAAAGCGGTGCCAAGTTCCATTAATTCTACAGTGTAAATACACTTAAAGGAGGCTAAAAGTCTTGCAAAACTACAACTCCCTGGATCCCATTGCATTGAGCCATGTCAGTTAAAGTGGTGCCAAATTGCATTAATTCTACAGTGTAAATACACTTAAAGGAGGCGAAAAGCCTTGCAAAACTACAACTCTCTGGATCCCATTGCATTGAGCCATGGCAGTTAAAGGGGTGCCAAATTGCATTAATTCTACAGTGTAAATAAACTTAAAGGAGGCTAAAAGCCTTGCAAAACTACAACTCCCAGGATCCCATAGCATTGAATTAAAGCAGCATCAAACTTCATTAATTCCACAGTATAGATGCACCCCCAGATCTCCAATGCTGTAGTCTATTGCTCAAACTACTTTGCTGTAAGCCTACCTTGCAGGGCTGTTGTTGGATAGTTCCACTAATAATAATTTAACAATGCTTTAATAATAATTAGTGGATTTGTTAGTAAGGACCACTGTGTAGTGATGTAAGTCTTGGACGACATCCCTTGAGACCAGGGTTTGAATCTTTGCAGCTTTAGGAAAGGCACACTTTCTCAGCCTCAGAAGCAAACGCCTGATAAGACTTGCTTTCTGGTTGCCATAAGTCAGGAAGCGGACTTGAAGGCGCACAACAACAAATGCAACGTGTCACGCCTTTCGGTTGTGGAGAGGCATCTCTGGACGTGTTGGAACAAAATGGCAAATATTTAGACTGGCGCCGCACCTGATTGGCAAACAGGGCCCCAAACAAAGGGCCAAGGGGTGCCTCTGATATCGGGATATCTCTGAACCCAACCGCCAATATCACCAAAGGTTGGCATATTATTTAACTCTTTCGCCCTCGCATTTTTCCCATTGCTTTTTTTGTTCCTCCCCAGGTCATTGTCCAGCGGTCCCTCTCCGCAAAGAGCTTGAACCACGCCAAAGGGGGGTCCATCCTGGCCAGCTATTTAAAAATGCTGCCCATGGCCCTCATCGTCATGCCGGGGATGATCAGCCGGATCCTGTATCCAGGTGAGAAGGGATGGAAGGTGCCCACAAACAAGGAGAGGCTGCTGCAGGTTGCTTTTGCCTGAACTGACTGGGAAGGGCAAAATTAACTCACCCTAATCTCCTTCTTGCTGAATTAATTGAGTGCTAACTGCTATTAAACTCAGTTTGCAGCGATTCAAGCAAGCTGGGGAGAAAGCCGGAGGGAGGGAAAGAAACCGGGACATTTTAAAAGTGGGATGGTAGAGGATTAATTTGGGATTTCCATGGACTGCTTGAGAGTGAATTAGTGGAGAGTGACACCATTTGAACTCCACAGCCCAATTTTATGGAATTATGGGGGTTGTAATTTGCACTTTTTGACAGGGAAATGAAGGACCTTGTAAAACTGCAACTCCCAGGATTCCATAGCACTGAGATAGATAGATAGATAGATAGATAGATAGATAGATAGATAGATAGATAGATAGATAGGTAGGTAGGTAGGTAGGTAGGTAGGTAGGTAGGTAGGTAGATAGATAGACAGATAGATAGATAATACATAAATAGAGATATTATTTATGTATCCTGACTGGGGAGCCCCACTGGCGCAGTGGGTTAAACGGCTGAGTTGCTGAACTTGCTGACCGAAAGGTCAGTGGTTTGAATACATGGAATGGGGTGAGCTCCTGCTGTTAGCCCCAGCTCCTGCCAACCTAGCAATTCGAAAACCTGCAAATGTGAGTTGATCAGTAGGTACCCCTTCTGCGGGAAGGTAATGGCGCTCCATGCAGTCATGCTGGCCACATGACCTTGGAGGTGTCTATGGATAATGCCGGCTCTTCAGCTTAGAAATGGAGATGAGCACCACCCCCCAGAGTCAGACACAATTGGACTTAATGTCAAGAGGAAAACCTTTAGAAATACTAGATAGATCGAGGATACATAGAAATGAGGGGTGGATGGGTGGATGGATAGTGGTATCATATAGCTACCCATCCACCCATCTACCCATCATTTCTATGTATCATCGATCTATCTAATATTTCTAAAGGTAACAGTTTCCCCTTGATATTAAGTCTGGTCGTGTCTGAGATACTAGATATATTAATCATATATAGAAATGATAGACAGACAGACAGACAGACAGATAGATAGATAGATAGATAGATAGATAGATAGATAGATAGATAGATAGATGATACATAGAAATTATGGATGCATGGAAGCATGAATAGATAGCTATATGATACATAGAGGTACTAGATATATTGATCATACATATATCATATAGATAGAGATAGTAATCAGATCGATAGAGATAATACCTCATGGGCCATCCAGTCCAACCCCCTACCAAGAAGCAGGAATATTGCATTCAAATCACCCCTGACAGATGGCCATCCAGCCTCTGTTTAAAAGCTTCCAGAGAAGGAGCCTGCCCCGGAGTGTGGTGGAGGCTCCTTCTTTGGAAGCTTTTAAACAGAGGCTGGATGGCCATCTGTCAGGGGTGATTTGAATGCAATATTCCTGCTTCTTGGCAGGGGGTTGGACTGGATGGCCCATGAGGTCTCTTCCAACTCTTTGATTCTATGATTCTATATACTAGTTGGATTGATGAGACAGAAATGATGGATGGATGGATAGCTATATGATACGTAGAGATACTTAATAGATTGATCATACATAGATATAATTGATGATAGACACATAGATACTAATCAGATTGATTGAGATGATACAGAGATGATAGATAGATAGATAGATAGATAGATAGATAGATAGACAGACAGATAGATATACTAGATAGATTGATGATACATAGAAATGATGGGTGGATCGATGGCTAGCTATATGATACATAGAGATACTTAATAGATTGATCATATGTAGATATAATAGACGATAGATAGATAAATAAATAGATAGAGATACTAATCAGATTGATCGAGATGATACAGAGATGATAGATAGATAGATATAGATAGATATACTAGATAGATTGATGATACATAGAAATGATGGATGGATGCATGCATGGAAGCATGGATAGATAGCTATATGATACATAGAGGTACTAGATATATTGATCATACATATATCATATAGATAGAGATAGTAATCAGATCGATAGAGATCATACAGGTGCGTCTGGTGGGAACAAGACCGCATTTCCATCTACGAACCCACATGCTCACTTCGGTCATCTGGAGAGGCCCTGCTCGTGATCCCGCCTGTCGCAAGCACGCTTGGTGGGGACACGAGACAGGGCCTTTTCCGTGGTGGCCCCCCGACTCTGGAACACCCTCCCCAAAGATCTTAGACAGGCCCCTACACTGGCAGTCTTCAGAAAGAACTTGAAGACCTGGCTGTTCCGATGTGCCTTCCCAGATTAGGAAATCTCCACTACCAAGTCCCATAAGCACTTTACTAGAACCAATGATTGCTGCACATCGCACACCGCACTTGCCCTAGAAGCCTCATATTCACCCTTGTCACATCAGCACTTTTAATTTTGTACCCATTACTCTGGCCTGGCCCAGTTCTATTGCCTGTTGTTCATTTTGCTTTATTTTGTTTTAATTGTTTGCTTTGCTTAGATTGTACTGTTATATTGTGTGTTGAGGCCTCGGCCTGTGTAAGCCGCATTGAGTCCTTTGGGAGATGCTACCGGGGTACAAACAAAGTTTAATAACAATAATAATAATAACAACAAGAGTAAGGGCCTTTTCTGTGGTGGCCCCTCGGCTATGGAATTCCCGAATGAAATTAGATCTGCCCCCTCCCTCCTGACCTTTAGGAAGGTAGTGAAAACCTGGCTGTGGAATGAAGCTTTTGCGGAATGATGTCTGAGACCGGCAATCGACCAAAGTTACTGACCACAATATATGGACTGAGTTGGACATGATTTTATCTTGGCCAATGGCTATTATATAATTTATCCTATATGTATTTGTTAATTTTAATGTTGATATGTGATGTTTTAGATTTTTAGTGTTAGCATTGAATCTTTGCTGTCAGCCGGTCTGGGTCCTTCTACGGAGGTAGAGAAGATCGGGATATAAAAGTTTTAAATAAATAAATAGATATTAGATAGGTTCTTGTAGGTTTTTTCGGGCTATATGGCCATGTTCTAGAGGCATTTCTCCTGACGTTTCACCTGCATCTATGGCAAGCATCCTCAGAGATAGTGAGGTCCTCACTACCTCTGAGGATGCTTGCCATAGATGCAGGTGAAACGTCAGGAGAAATGCCTCTAGAACATGGCCATATAGCCCGAAAAAACCTACAAGAACCTAGTGATTCCGGCCATGAAAGCCTTCGACAATAGATATTAGATAGATCGATAGATAGATGATACATAAATAATCATTAGTTTTACAAGGTTAAAGAGGTGGCAAGCTGCATGACTTTTACTTTGCCGGCGCACCCTTAAACTATGAGGCACTTGTTGATGCCAAAGCTGTTTTTCACCGGGTGCATTAACTGGGTGGCCTTGTAAGGCAGTTGACGGGTGCTTTGTGGGAAGCCTTTGAAATCGTCTCTCCCTTGCTAAGCCCTTTGCAAGCATAACAGAAACCGGCCTGACCCAGTAAGAAAAAAAAGAAAGAAAGGCAGGACGCTGCTGTGTCAGCAGGACTGGGGAGGCAGGCGTCTTCGTGCGGGCACACGCCCGGGACTTGCCACACCTGGCAAGCGAGGGATGGCCGTGATTTGCAATCGCCACCGGCACCACCGTCTCTCAGATCTTCTCGTGTCAACCTCATGTGCGTCCTCACCCAAAACAAAGGGCACGATCCGTAGAGATCTGGGTTGATGATGCACCCTTCAGGCATTAGACCTATTCAAAGCCCTACTTGCCACCAGAACAGTGATTTCCTCTCCGGGTAATGTGGTTTATTAAAAACTGGATATTTGAGGATTCCCAGAAATGAAAGAAGAAAGCGCAAAAGCCAGGTTGCAGCTAAACGTCAAAAAAACCAAGATTATGGCAACAAGAATGATTGACAACTGGGAAATAGAGGGAGAAAATGTGGAGGCCGTGACAGACTTTGTATTTCTAGGTGCAAAGATAACTGCAGATGCAGACTGTGGCCAGGAAATCAGAAGACGCTTCCTTCTTGGGAGGAGAGCAATGTCCAATCTCGATAAAATAGTAAAGAGTAGAGACATCAGACTGGCAACAAAGATCCGCCTAGTCAAAGCCATGGTATTCCCTGTAGTAACCTACGGATGTGAGAGCTGGACCTTAGGGAAGGCTGAGTGAAGGAAGATCGATGCTTGTGAACTGTGGTGTTGGAGGAAAGTTCTGAGAGTGCCTTGGACTGCGAGAAGATCCAACCAGTCCATCCTCCAGGAAATAAAGCCCGACTGCTCATTGGAGGGAAGGATACTAGAGACAAAGTTGAAGTACTTTGGCCACATCATGGGAAGGCAGGAAAGCATAGAGAAGACAATGACGCTGGGGAAAATGGAAGGAAAAAGGAAGAGGGGCCGACCCAGGGCAAGATGGATGGATGGCATCCTTGAAGTGACTGGACTGACCTTGAAGGAGCTGGGGGTGGTGACGGCCGACAGGGAGCTCTGGCGTGGGCTGGTCCATGAGGTCACGAAGAGTCGGAGACGACTGAACGAATGAACAACAAGAAATTCTAGCAGGGTATTTCTAGGAATCCTCAAATTCCTAGTGGCTAAGGAATGCTGGGAGTTGGAATCTGAAATATTTGCAGGGCTGAAGTTTGGGAAACTGAGGCTTACAAGTCAGATTCAAACTCCATTAACACCATGCTGACTCTAGTATAGGGTTTTGTGGCAAGGTTTGCCATTGTTTCCAGTGAGGTTGAGAGTGTATGACTTGGCCAAGGTGTGTATTCATCGCCAAGTGGGAATTTGAACCTTGGTCTCTATGGGAGTTGTAGTTTGGTATAGTTTGTCCCTGTCTTTGTCTCCTTAGGGCAGTGTCTCAACCTGGGGGTCGGGACCCCTGAGGGGGTCGCGAGGGGGTGTCAGAGGGGTCACCAAAGACCATCAGAAAACACAGTATTTCTGATGGTCATGGGGATTCCATGTGGGAAGTTTGAGCCAATTCTATCGTTGGTGGAGTTCAGAATGTTCTTTGATTGTAATGAACTATAAATCCCAGCAACTACAACTCCCAAATGTCAAGATCTATTTTCCCCAAGCTCCACCAGTGTTCACATTTGTTCACATATGGGAAGTTTGAGCCAATTCTATCGTTGGTGGAGTTCAGAATGTTCTTTGATTGTAATGAACTATAAATCCCAGCAACTACAACTCCCAAAAGTCAAGGTTTATTTTCCCCAAGCTCCACCAGTGTTCACATTTGCGCATATTGAGTATTTGTGCCAAGTTTGGTCCAGATCCACAGTGCTCTCTGGATATAGGTGAACTACAACTCCCAAACTCAAGGTCAATACCCACCAAACCCTTCCAATGTTTTCCGTTGGTCATGGGAGTTCTTTGTGGCAAATTAGGTTCAAATCCATCGCTGGTGGAGTTCAGAATGCTCTTTGATTATAGGTGAACTATAAATCCCAGCAACTACAACTCCCAAATTACAAAATCAATCTCCCCTAACCCCACTAGTATTCAAATTTGGGTGTATTGGGTATTTGTGCCAAATTTGGTCCAGTGAATGAAAACACATCCAGCATGTCAGATATTTATATTACAATTCATAACAGTAGCAACATTACAGTTATGAAGTAGCAACAAAAACAATATTATGGTTGGGGGTCACCACAACATGAGGGACTGTATTAAGGGGTCACGGCATTAGGAAGGTTGAGAACCACTGCCTTAGGGGGTAAGTGGAAGGTTTGATTGCATCTAGACTATAGAAAAAATGCGGTTTGATTTCACTTGAACTGCCCTGACTCAATGCTATGGGATTCTGGGAGCTGTTGTTTGCACTCGACAGCAAAAAAGGCTCAAGGTTTCCTAAAACTAAAACTCCCATGACCAATTTTGTTGTATGTAGGTAAAGCAAAGCACGGAGAATACTCAACCCAACTGGCCATAATGTCTCCCATCCGGACCCGGTGTTTCGCCGGTTTTAGTTTCTTCCAGACAACTCAAATGAGTTGGAAGGGTCCCAAAAAGCCACCCAGTCCAATCTCTTTCTGCCTGGCAGGAGACACCATCAAAGCCCTCCCAACAGATGGCCATACAATATCTGCTTAAAATCTTCCAGAGAAAGAGGTGCCTTTTGAAGGAGCTAGAAAATGCCTAGAAGGGACCTAATTTGTTGGATGTGGGTAAACTAAACCAACCTAGAAAATCTCAATAATGCCTAAAGATGGCATATTCTGTTGGTAAATGAAACCATCATTAGGACATAGAAAGAACAATTACCACCAAGAGTCCTACCTGTGGCCCATTGCTGTCGGGGAAAGCATGCGGATTACGGCCCCTTCCCAAAACACACCTCATCTCCCCCATGCCTTCGTCGCTCTTCCGCCTACGGGCCTCTTCCAAAGCCAAGCTCAGGAGGGGCTGGGGACTCCCCAAGGGGCTCACGAAGGTCCCTCGGCTGATGTGGGGCTCGCTCAGCTTTCGTTGCACAGGAGGCCGATGGCGGTGGTGGTCCCCGTTGAGGAGGAAATCCGAATTGGTCCTCCGCAGAAGCATGGGATGATCCCTGGCCTCAAAATACTCATCTGAGACGGACGACGCATCAGAGGGGAGGTAGCTGTGGTTGGCGGAGCTGCCGGACACACTCTCTGGACCGCTGAAGACCACGTGGTCATCCTTTTCCTCCTCTCCATCTTCTGCCTCATCCCCTTGTACCCCATTTACAGGATGGGTCATGTCTTCAGACACTGCCTCTTGCCTGCTTAGCTGTCGACAAATCCCCGAAACATGAGGACCTTCTCCATCTACGATATTGGCACCGTTGCTCTCGGTTTGGTGACCCTCTAATTCAGAATCTTGTTCTTTGGAGTTTTTTGGGGAGATCAGTTCTGTCACAGGGACTGTTCTTGGTTTTGGCACCGGTGGCACAGCCCCGTCATGGTGAGTTTGGTCTTGACTTTGTCCTTCCAAGTGCTGACCGTTGGCCAGGGTTTCTCCATTTGTTGACATCTTCTCAGCAAGATTCGTTGTTCCATCCGTATGATTAATTGGAGTCTCTTGGTTTTGGTGAGAGGGAGGCAATGCATTTTTGGCTTGGTTTGGAGAGCTTGGATGGTGGCCCTTGTGGCTTTCTTTCTGCTTCAGCATCTGCCGGTGTTGAGCGTTGGCCTGGGACACGTCGCACACCTTGATGCGGTTCATCTGCGAGAGCTGGATGTTCTTGATCTTGGGGTCGATGATGTTGATGTAACCCAAGATCTCGCTCCCGGGTTCTGGGTCGGGCTCAACCCAAGTTGGCAAATAGTCGAACATGTTGGCTTTCTCTAGGTTCAGGAGCCCCGGGTGGATTGGGGGAGCCGTTTCCACTGGATCGCTGGGCCTCTCGGACACCCGTCCCTCCGGAATGACTTTCCCCTTCGGTGTCCGTTCAGGGAGGTTCTTGTCGCTCTGGGCCTTTCCGTTGCTTTCAATCCGCTCTACACTCTTCGCCTTGACCAGGGCGTACTTGGGATTGAACATCTTCTTCACCACAGCGTTGTTGTTAGGATTGACCGGTGCCACCGACGGGAGGATTAAGGGCTCCGGCTCAGGTTCCTCTTCCATTGGGATGGACTTCAAGCTGACCCCTCGAGACACCAGATACAGTTCTTGGAACTGCTTGTCAAAGGCCTCCACCACTTGTCCGGACAGGACCGAAATGACGTTTCGGTCACATCGAGCAGCAGACCAGGTGAAGCTGGAAGCGAGGAGGAAAAACAGTGAGTTACTTTCGAATAAAAACAACAACAACAACAACAACAACAACAACAACAGGATAACAGCAACAGCAGCAGCAATATTATGTTCAAGATGGAAAGGAAAAGGAGAAGAAGATCAGCTTAAAAAGGCAATGGAGACACAACTCAAAGAAAGGTCCGGTGAATCCACAAAATGCACTTTTGCATTCACTGGATTAATATCTGCTGGTGAACCAATGCAAGGCTTTGGTTTGTGCTAAGTTTCTCATCTGCTTGATTCTCATCTGTGAGAGAAGTAATGCAAGCTTTCAGGTACTTGAGGATTTTATTTTGTCTCAGAAAAATGACAGCTAAGAGTGCGTCTGCACTGTACCGTTAGTGCAGTTTGACACCACTTTCAGTGCCATTGGGAGTTGGAGTTTGACAAACTCTTTAGCCTTCTCTGCCAAAGAATACAAACTCCAACTCCCTTGACTTCACAGCATTGAACCAGGGCAGCTTAACTGGTGTCAAACCGTATTCATGCCACAGTATACACACACTCTAAGACAGCATTTCTCAACCTGGGGGTCACGAGAGGGTGTCAGAGGGGTCAGAAAACATAGTATTTTCTGTTAGTCATGGGGGTCCTGTGTGGGGCAGTTTGGCCCAATTCTATCATCAGTGAAGTTCAGAAGCTCTTTGATTGTAGTGAACTATAAATTCCAGCAACTACAACTCCCAAATGTCAAGGTCTATTTTCCCCAAACTCCACCAATGTTCACATTAGGGCCTATTGAGTATCCGTGCCAAATTTGGTCCATATCCATCATTGGTCCATATCCATCATTGTGTGAGTCCACAGTGGTCTCTGGATGTAGGTTAACTACAACTCCAAAACACAAGGTCAACGCCCACCAAACCCTTCCAGTATTTTCTGTTCACCATGGGAGTTCTGTGTGCCAAGTTTGGTTCCATTCCATTGTTGGTTGACAGAATGCTCTTTGATTGTAGGTGAACTATAAATCCCAGCAACTACACCTCCCAAATGTTAAGGTCTATTTTCCCCAAACTCCACCAGTGTCCACATTTGGTGTCTGCGCCTACACCACTGGAGAAATTACACTGCTTAGCCGGTATTGCACCACCTGACATCCGCCAGGAAGTAGCAGCCAATAGTGAAAGGACCAAGGCAGTGACATCTCCAGCTCATCCCTTGTTTGGGTATCAGCCAGCACATCAACGACTTAAATCAAGACATAGTTTTCTAGATCTACAGAGACACTCGCTGGAACACCTCAGCAAGCGAGAGTCCAAAAGTGGCAGGCTCAAACCCAGAACCTCAATCAATGGCTGATACCAAATGAGAGCCTCCCCCCTGGGCACACAGAGGACTGGGCGACTTGGAAGGCGCTGAACAGACTGCGCTCTGGCACCACGAGATGCAGAGCCAACCTTCAGAAATGGGGCTACAAAGTGGAATCCACGACATGCGAGTGTGGAGAAGAGCAAACCACTGACCACCTGCTGCAATGCAACCTGAGCCCTGCCACATGCACAATGGAGGACCTTCTTGGGGCAACACCAGAGGCACTCCAAGTGGCCAGATACTGGTCAAAGGACATTTAATCAACTATCAAGTTTGCAAAATTTGTGTTTTTTATCTGTTTGTTTGTTTTGTTCTGTTAGAAATGTAATACAACACCCAAATGACAAAATCACCCCGCCCCCCAACCCCACTAGTATTCAAATTTGGGCGTATCGGGTATTTGTGCCAAATTTGATCCAGTGACTGAAAATACATCCTGCATATCAGATATTTACATTAAGATTCATAACACTAGAAAAATTACAGTTTTGAAGTAGCAAAAATAATGGTTGGGGGTCACCACAACATGAGGAAGAGTATTAGGAAGGTTGAGAAACACTGAAGGAAAGGCTCTTTACCTGTAGGAGCCACACATGGCTTTGTCCCCGTCCACAAACATGAATTTCTGGGCCAAGGCGCCCTTGAAACGAGTGGCTGAGCGGGTGAAAAACTCCGTCCCGCCGGTCGTTCGGACTCTGAGATTCTGCAAAAGTTAAACGGAGAAGGAAAGGACATTAGGAAACAAATAGGAAAAAGTCTCACCATAGAAGCAAATCATATTCCTGGGTGCATTGAATTGCAAACTTTTTAAGGAGCCCACTTGTCCTGTATCCTTAATCCGTTTGCATAACTCCCAGGTTTTCTTCTGGGAGGCCTGACGTGGCATATTTTAAAGCAGCACCACCCAAATGTCAAGAGCAGTGGATAATGGATGCACTAATTAATTTAATGTATGCTCCATCTGGAGAGACAGCATGATGTGGCGTCTTGAGCGTCGGACTGTTTGAAATTCAGTTGCAGCAACGGGAGCAAACTGGGAACGAAGGCGGGAGGAAGGGAGGTTTTGAAAACATCTGGGAGAATGAGATGGAGGAGTATTCCTGGGCACTTCCATTGACTTAAAAGGGTGCGGAGCGATGGGGGAACTGGGTGTACTTTGCGGGAGAAAGCAGACGGGCATCAAAAACGTAATGGAGGAGAACAGCAAACACCAAATTGTTTTGCTGCCAGCCTCATTGGCAAACAAATCAATAAGGTTTCCATTGGTCCTCAGCCAAATGTCCTGGAAAAACATCACGTTTACCTCTTCCCTGTGATAGAGTGCATCTACATTGCGTGATTACTGCACTTTGACAACACTTGAACAGCCATGTCTCAATGTGATGGAATCCTGGGAGTTGTAGTTTCACAAGGCCTTTACCCTTCTTGGTTCTGGACTCAGTCTTTGGCAGAGAACTTTCAAAAAGTTTTGAAAGACTTTTGCAAAGACTTCAGCCTTCTCTTCCAAATAAGGCTAAAGGCCTTGTGAAACTACAACTCCCAGCATTCTACTGCATTGAGCCATAGCAGTTCAACCATGATAGATAGATACAATGGATGGATAGAAAGGTAGAGATGGATACTAGATATCTCATAGAGAGACAGATAGCACTCTCTGGATATCTCATCACTATACCAACATATTGTTGAGAAGGTAAGATCCCTTGTAAAACTACAACTCCCAGGATTCCATAGCACTGAGCGTTGGCAGTTCAAGTGGTGTAAAACCGCATTTATTGTACAGTGTCGATATACCATGGGTTCATTATGGAAGGAAGAATAGTAATTCCATAATGCTTGCTTTGTCACCTGCACTCTCAACACCTTGCAAAACTACAACTCCTGAGACTCCGTCACACTGAGCTGTGGCAGTTAAAGTGGTGTCAAAGTGGATTACTTATATCGTACAGGCGCACCCTTGGACTGGAATCCCCCCTGAGTTTGGTAATATCTCTGGATGCAGGGTGAACTACAACTCCCGCACGGATGGGTCATTCCCCCCTCCAAACCCCTCCAGTATGTTATATTGATCACTAGGGTTCTGTGTGTCAACTTTGATCCAGATCCGTCGTTGGGTGGGTTCAGGGTCCTCTGGATAAGGGTGAACTACAACTCCCAGATCCAAGAGCAATCTCCCCCAAACCCCACCTGTATGCACAGTTGGCCATGTTGAGTCTGTGTGCCAAAAACCCACCAGCATTCATATTTAGGCATATCAGGTATGTGCCAAGTTTGGTCCACATCTTTCTCTGGGTTCACAGTGCTCTCTGGATGTAGGTGAACTACAACTCCTATAAATGAAGGTCTATTCCTCCCCAAACATTCCAGTATTTTCAATTGGCCGTGGGGGTTTTGTGTGCCAAATATGGTCCAGGTCTATTGTTGGTGGGGGTCACAGTGCTCTGTCTTGATACAGGGTGAACTACAACTTCCATCATGTTGAGTCAGGCCCCCAAACCCCTCCAGTACATTCAGTTGCTGATCAATTCTGCTCTGTTTGTTGTACGCCATAAAAAATGAATAGGAAAGGGTTAAGGGAGAGGCAGTGGGCGGGGCCATGCAAATTCCACACCAATAGAGAGAATCAGAAACACTGGGATGTCCGTGGTGGAGGAAACACATAAAATTTAGGATGAAATTGTCCCTATATGAAAGCCTTCACTTGGGTGGCGGGAAGGACAGTGTCTGTGGAGGACATTGGCAGGGCTCTTGGACATGTTCATGGTGCTCGCTATAACCTGCAATGTCATTGGAGGGAGGGCCTTTAGTAGCTCCTCATAGCTGGGAACCATAGCTGTTTGTGGAAGTGGGCACCCCAGCCACATACACAAAGACGAGGGTTGAATGAAAAGTAATACCTCCACCTTTGTAACTCCTCAACAGATGGCAGTACTGGTATGCAGCAGGTACTGGCTTGTTCAGTAGACTCTCTTCTACAGTTCCATTTTGGCGGAAAGCCTTAGCATTGAATGGTTGCGTTGTTAAAGTGCAAGAGATGGAACCATACGCAGATGGTGGGTCAATGCGACTTAAGCAACGTGCAGTCATTGAATTCTTGACAGCAGAAGGTGTCACCTCAACATCTTTAAACTTACTCGCCCAATGATGTACAGTACTCACATCAAGACAATCCCCATAAACAGCTTGCATTCTCTGATGAATCTCCTTTGGGGTGACACCTTCTGCTGTCAAGAATTCAATGACTGTACATTGCTTAAGTCGAATTGACTGACCGTCTGTGCAAGGTTCCATACTTTGCACTTTAACAACACAACCGTTCAATGTTAAGGCTTCCCACCAAAATGGAACTGTAGAGGAGAGCCTACTGAACAAGCCAGTACCTGCTGCATTCATTGCTTAAGTAACACTGACCAACCATCTGCGCAGGGTTCCATACTTTGACCTTTAACAACACAACCATTCAATGCTAAGGCTTCCCGTCAAAATGGAACTGTAGAGGAGAGTCTGCTGAACAAGCCAGTACCTGCCGTATTCGTTGCTTAAGTCACATTGACCAACCATCTGCGCAGGGTTCCATACTTTAACAACACAACCATTCAATGCTAAGGCTTCCTGCCAAAATGGAACTGTAGAGGAGAGTCTACTGAACAAGCCAGTACCTGCTGCATACGTTGCTTAAGTCGCATTGACCAACCGTCTGCGCAGGGTTCCATACTTTGCACTTTAACAACACAACCATTCAATGCTAAGGCTTCCTGCCAAAATGGAACTGTAGAGGAGAGTCTACTGAACAAGCCAGTACCTGCCGCATACCAGTACTGCCATCTGTTGAGGAGTTACGAAGGTGGAGGCATTACTTTTCATTCAACCCTTGTCCATATCTTCACTTTATTATGTGTATAGATAGATTTGAAAAAAGAGAAACACAAAAAGCGAACATGGGAGAAAGCATTTCAATCGTGTGCTTGTGGACGTCTTTGCTTCTTCACCAAAAATTTTCATATTTTGGACATGGAGGTATTGCGTTGCGCAGCTGACTTTTACCACCTGTTTGAGAATCAAAATTAAAATTAAAGCCTCTCAAAGACAGGTTGGACCCGTTCGCCTTGTGTTTTAATTGGACGGTTGCCGCCTTTCCCCGTTTTATTTTCTTTTTTCTTCTCGCTTTTGGGCCACCCTGTTTCCCTTCTTCTCATTATGCCACCCAACACCGAAAAATGGGATGTGCCTCAACAGAATATCATCCGCATACTGAAAACGATTAATGGCTTCTGATAAGCTTCCGGACCAAATTCAAAGTACAGGTTAAAGTCCTATCTCAACCTAATGCCGTGACCCCTTAACACAGTTCCTCATGTTGTGGTGACCCCCAACCATAACATTGTTTTCGTTGCTACTTCATAACAGTAATTTTGCTACTGTTATGAATCGTCATGTAAATATTGGATACGCGGGATGTAATTTCATTCACTGGACCAAATTTGGCACAAATACCCAATATGCCCAAATTTGAATACTGGTGGGGTTAAGAGAGGGATTGATTTTGTAATTTGGGAGTTGTAGTTGCTGGGATTTATAGTTTACCTACAACCAAACAGCATTCCGAACTCCACCAATGATGGAATTGAACCAAACATGGCACACAGGACTCCCATGACCAACAGAAAATACTGGAAGGGTTTGGTGGGCATTGACTTTGACGTTTGGAGTTGTAGTTCGCCTACATCCAGAGAGCACTGTGGACTCAAACAATGATGGATCTGGACCAAACTTGGCACAGATACTCAATATGCCCAAATGTGAACACTGGTGGAGCTTGAGGAAAATAGACTTTGACATTTGGGAGTTGTAGTTGCTGGGACTTATAGTTCACCTACAATCAAAGATGACCCTGAACCCCATCAATGATAGAATTGGGCCAAACTTGAAACACAGAACCCCCAAGACGGGACATTTTCAAGGCAGCAGAGAAAGTGGGAAAGCAGAGGATTCATCTACCCAATTAGCTGGAGGCGACTGTAATTTGACATAATGTATTATGTGATTTATATCCTGCTTTTCTTCTCCCAACAAACCTTTTTTCATTTAGTCTATTCTATCTATCGCCTTCGGCAAGTCACTTAATTTGACAAATATGTTATTTTCACAAGCAGAAAGGTCTAGCTGGTACGACTGGGTTGCTGTGAGTTTTCCAGGCTGTTTGGCCATGTTCCAGAAGCACTCTCTCCTGACCTTTCACCCACATCTATAGCAGGCATCCTCAGAGGTTGTGAGGTCTGTTGGAACTAGGCAAGTGGGATTATTATTATTATTATTATTATTATTATTATTAATGTCATTTTGATAATGTTGTTGTTGTCTGTTGTATATGCTTTGATTTTATTGCTGTATTATGTTGTCTGCGCTTGGCCCCATGTAAGCCACTCCGAGTCCCCATCAGGGAGATGGTGGTGGGGTAGAAATAAAGATTTATTATTATTATTATTATTATTATTATTATTATTATTATTGTGTCCAGCCAATAGATCACTACCTGGAAGGCTTTCATGGCCTGAATCACTGGGTTGTTGTAAGTTTTTTGGGCTATATGACCATGTTCTAGAAGCATTCTCTTCCGACGTTTCGCCTGCATCTATGGCAAGCATCCTCGGAGGTTGTGATAGGAAAAAGGGTTTATATCTGTGGAATGACCAGGGTGGGACA